ATGAAGAGGGGGCAGAACATTTAAAATCATTTTGGCTGGAAAAGACCTTTAAGATCATTGTAGACAAAGACAGAGCACAGCCTAGATGTGGGGGTCCACCCCTAGTGAAAGGAAGGTGTGGAAACCTCCCTGGCTGCAAACCAGACCTCTCTTGATACAGGGCCCACGGGCCTGGCCCCACAACCAGGTGGGAGGGAACCACAGTCTTACCAGCTCCAGGGATGGCTGGCAAATTCAGGCCCTTGGTAGCTGATGGCTTCGTCATCTGCTTCAGTTTGTCGATGCGAAGATTCTCCAGCTTGTGGAGAGCCATGAGCCCTGAGGAGCCCATAGGCTCACTAGGCCCCACATCCTCCAGCGTGGAGAGATCCTCATAGCTCCCGCCTGCGTTGCCCGCCATCTCCACCCCGCTGTCGTTGTTGGTGGTGCTGCCCAGCGGGGAGTGGTCGCTGCTGCATGATGACTGCCCACCTGGGCTGGTCTGCGGCTTCTAGGGGCGACCCAAAACATTAACCAAGGAAAAGGGGGTCAGAGATCCACCACTCGCTTAACGCAGCCTGCGAGCCCACGCCCTGCAGATGTGGAGATGACCCCACCGACGGGCCTGGCCAGGCCTCCCTCCACCATCACCATCCCCAGCTCCTTACCAAGACCAAGTCAGGCACCAAGAGTTTGCCATCATCCTTCCGGGCCTCCGTGGGGCCATTTGTCTCTTTCTCCTGCTTCATGTCGGAGGGGCCGCTGTGGGCGGGCACCGCGCGGCCGGGCACCACATCTCCACGGTGCTTCTTGGTGACGTGGGCGTCGGGGCCGTGCACGGTCTTCACGTGTTTGCGCAGGGAGCTGGGGTCTGTGTAGCGCTTGGTGCAGCCCGGGATCTTGCACACGTAGGGCTTCTGTCGTGGAAAGAAGGTAGGCACTGTGGGGGGGTGCTGGCTCTCACTAGAGACCCCTCCCAGTAAAGGACCAACTGGGCATGAGATAAATCCCCCTTCCTCTTGAGGAACTGCGGGAAGCGAGGGTGGGAAGGGGTCAAAGAGGCCGAGTCCTCTTGGCGGGGCCATGTCAGGTGCTACAGCAGCGCCTTGGAGGAGGTCACGGGGAGCCAGAGAAAGGACACAAGGATGGTGTTCCACAGGACTGGGGAAGGGACCCTGATGGGAATGCAGGTGACCGAGGAAGAGAGTGGCGGTCACACTTCCTGAGAGCAGGCAAGGAGGAGGGTGAAAAAGAAACAGGGGCGCAGGTCATTTTCAGAGTATGGGACTAATCAGGAGGCAGACAGGGAGCCCCAAATGTGTCTGTACCTCGTTGGAGTGGGTGCGGTTTTGATGCTTGGCCCGGTCTGAAGCATTGGAGAAGGCCTTGTTGCAACCCTCGTGTTCACACACGTAGGGTTTTTCACCCGTGTGTGAGCGCAGATGTGTCTTGAGGTTCTCCAGGCGTGAGTAGGCCTTGCTACAGCCCTCGAACTGTGCGGGCGAGGAGGGTGAAACATGCCACACACCTTCAACAGGCCCCTCACCACGTTACCCCCACGCTACGTACCCACGGCACATCTGCCAAGGACACATGTCACACCTCCCGGCCAACGCAGAGCACACCCGCACCCCTTCAGGGGCACACCCTCACACCCCTGCCCAGCCCTTCACCTCTCCGGCCCATCTCCCACCACCTCCCCACGCCCTGCCCACGTGGCTGTGCTGTACCCAGCCTGCCACACGCACCGCCCCACCCGCACCCCCGCCACAGGCCATCCTGACCACCCCGTACGTCCCGCTTCACCCCCCCTACCACGTGCTGCCCTCAGTGCCACACACCAGACGCGCCGGCGCACGCCCTGCCCTGAGCTCTGCCTGGTGGAGAGCTGAGCCGAGGCTCGTGCCAGCTCACCGTGCACTTGTGAGGCTTCTCGCCCGTGTGACGCCGCATGTGCACCACCAGCATGTACTGAGCCTTGAAGGGCCGCTGCTCCCGGGAACACGCTGCCCAGTGGCACACAAACTCCTTCCTCTCCCCGTGGATGTGCTCGTTGTTGATGTGCTGGGGAGAGAGAGGCACCGCTGGTGACGCTGGGGCCAGCACCAAGGCTCAGGGAGATACAGCTGTCTTAAGAGAGTAGCACGGCAGAGGGGGACTGGGATGGAGATGTCAGACCTCAGGGGCAACCAGAGCTGTCAGACTGTGCCTAGAGGAGGCAGGGATACAGGAGATGGCTGGAGGCTATTTTGGGAGGACCGAGAGAAGACACAGGGGTCAAGGTGGTCTGAGGAGAGCTGGAGTATCTGGAGACAAAGAGCAGAGGAGGAAGTCTGGATGCACCAGTGGTTCAGGGGAGCTGCCCCTGAGGTGAGGAAGGCCAGCACGGGTTTTCTCCATCGGGATGTCATATGGGAGAGTCACAGAGAACTTGCCCACAGTAAAGGGAGGATGCATCATCTCTCTCCCTTCCTAGGGCAACTTCCAACATTGTGCTCCTGTGTAGTGAGTTCTCGGGGCCGAGGGGGAGGGCAGCGGCCCAGTATAGGCCAGTCTTAGGGTAGGAGTGGTGAGCTGACATGGGGGTGACAACCAGCAGCCTGAGGGCAGGTCCTGGGACTAGGTGGACCCCAGCAGGACCTAACTCACATGCACCAGCTGCTCCTGCGTGTCAAACTCCTTGGCACAGCCATCCCAGTAGCAATTGGTTTCATATACAGTCTCAGACTCAAGTTTCCCATCCTCCTTCTCCAGATCTTCCCGAACATCAAGCAGCCCCAGCAAGGGGTCCTGGGGGAGCACAGCCAGATGAGCACTCCCAGGTATGACCTTCTGTGCTCCCTGTTAGAGGGCATGCTGCCAGGGAGGAGCACAGAGCCATAGGGAAGTGGAGAGTGGTCTCAAGGCCTGGAGAGTACCTGGGTGCCTGTGGAAGCTGGACTGGAGATGTCGCCCTCAGATCTCTCCTCTGGGTACTTGACAGTTAGAGGGCTGCTCAGGCTCCACTCCAACTTTAGCTGCTACCGGGTCAGAGGAAAAGCAAAAAAGAGTCAGCACTGAGATGCCTACTGGGCCACCACTCATGTGGATGCAAGACCCCCTTACCTGGCAACGCTTGAGGGTTCCACGAGCTGGGGCATGGTGCAGGAGCCCTGGGCGGGGGGTGAGATGTTCGTGGGAGCTACACGGTGGGGGGTGGGGGGGGTGGCTGTACAGGTGGTCTTGGCCCTTCTGCTGACACGGTGGACTCTGATACCCCAGCGATGGACTGCAAAGAGGGATGAGCAGATGACACCATCAGAGGACAGAAATTTAGGCCTTCTAAGCCAGCGATCCCAGGTGTCTGAACTCCCAGACACTCCTGCCCTAACCCACTGTCCCACTGTGCTCCCACCTCCCCCAGCCCTCACCCTGGCAATCCCCAAGTCAGAAATCAGGATTCAGGCTCCCAGGCTAGCGGGCTGCCTGCACGCCAGAAGGGCTGAAGTCTGGTCCCCACCTGATGGTGCTGATGGAGAGGTGGCCATAGGAGCCACTGGCAGAGGCGCAGCGAGAGTTGATGAATGCAACAAGGGAGTTGGGAGAGGTGCGGATGACCGTCTGCAGGTCGATGCTGGAGTCTGACAGGGGTGAGATGGACAGTGCCCGCTTCTTGCCCAATTTGCCTGCACCACGGGGCGTCGAGAACAGTGAGCCTGGGATGGCAACAGAGAGCAGGGGGCACTCCTCTCAGCATGGGTCCTAGGAGGCTGAAGAAATGCCCAAAGGCACAAGCGTGGTGCTTCGGAACCACTCCTCTCCTAGTTTAGACTTGTCACTGGTTTTGGACTGTCCCCCCTCCCTAGCACAGCCATCAATGTTCCGAGGGGGTGCCTGGACCCCCTGACACACGTGTACTCCCTGCTACAGCCAATAACATCCCAAGGAAAGTGCCCGATCCCGTTGGCCACAGCAAAGACAAGTTCACACAGGATCACACACCTGGAGGCCCAGCAGCCTCCTCCCTTATCCCCCTCCCAGCACTGCCCGACCCCCGAGAGCACACACCCACCCTCAACACAACCAACACGACCCCCAGGAGATGCCTCAGCCCCTGGTGGAACCCCTGCCTGCCCCAGGCCCTCCCGAGGCTGGAGACTTACCATCAGCACCGCCCGGGTGCTCGGGCCCCGGCACCAGCCCGTACCCGCGGGGACCGCCCGTGAAGCTGGGCTGATGGCACAAGGGGAAATCGAGTCCTGGCAGAGGGCAGGAGAAAGTCGGGAGGACGTGTTAGGGTGGGCGGCACACGGCAGGAGGGGAACTCCCCAGAGCGCCCCCGAACCCGAGCGCTCCATCCGAAGCTGGTGCCGCTCGCGTCCGTGACAGGCGCCGCTGGGGCCCAGG